CAAATATATATTTGATATATTTGTTTTTCTTTCCTCTATCTCTGTAAACACTGAATATTATAGTAAATTGGTTCTCGGCTTCCTCCGCCCGTGGTTTTTCCCGATTTGGGTTTCCACGTAAATATCGCGTGTTTTTTCTTTTTATCGTTCGATTTATTCTTGGTTGATTATTCAAATAGTTTTATATTCCGTTGAATCGTTATCGTGATATTTGGGTTTTATACTTCGATCTTGAAGTTATCGATTATTTATTGTAGTCGATTTGTCTACAATTGCTATCAGAGCTATCCGGGTTTTCCGATAACGATTCGTAAAAAACTATTTTCAACCATGTCATCGATGAAGTACGATATTCCTTTACTTGACAGAAACACAAGATTCCCTCTCTGGCAAGTAAAGATGAAAGATGTGTTGATCCAAATGGATCTCCACAAAGCACTATTAGGAATGGATAAAATGCCAGCAACTTGGTCGACTGAGGAAAAGGAGATGAAAGATCTAAAGGCGTCGTCGCAGATCCGTCTGCATCTTTCTAACGACGTTCTCCAAGATGTGTTGAAAGAGACATCCGCAGCGGCTCTCTGGCTAAAACTCGAGCAGCTACTTATGACGAAAAGCTTGCCCAACAAGCTACACTTGAAGCAACGACTTTTTAACCTAAAGATGGGTGAAGGTAGTTCTTTGTCTGATCACCTCTCTACCTTTAAAGATCTTGTAGGAAATCTGGAGAATATGGACGTCAAATACGAAGATGAAGACTTGGCGTTATTTTTATTATCTTCTCTCCCAGACTCCTACGATCACTTTCGTGACACCATTATCTATTCTCGGGACACTCTTGTCCTTGACGAGGTAATGACTGCACTTGATTCAAAGGAAAAGATGAAGCAGATAGTTGGGAACAGTAGCAGCGATTCTAAAGCCGAAGGTCTCAACATTAGAGGGAGACCTAACGAGAGAGGTAGCTCTTCACAAAACCAATCTAGATCTAAGTCCAAAGCCAATCGCAAGTATTGCAATTATTGCCACAAGAAGGGACATCTGATCGATGAATGTTTCAAGTTAAAGAACAAGGAGAAGGCAAAGGCAATCGCAAAGGGAAAAACAACCAATAACACCGTTGAAGCCGATGTTGCCGAAACTGGTTCCGATGGCGAGCTTCTATCCGTTTCAGACTACGGTTTAATGACCACGAGTGAGTGGGTACTTGATTCAGCGTGTACTTTTCATATGAGCTCCAACCGAAGCGTTTTTCATTCATATGAAAAGGTTAACGAAGGCCACGTTCTAATGGGTAACGACACTTCGTGTCGTATTATTGGACGGGGTACACTCAGGTTCCGCATGTTCGATGGCGTTGTTCGAACGATTCAAGATGTGAAGCACGTATCCGGTCTTAGGCGAAATTTACTAAGTCTCGGTACTTTCGAGAAGAAAGGTTACGAGTTTGTTGGCAAAGACGGGAAACTCCATATTTTCAAGGAAGGTTCTGTGGTCATCCGAGGAGTTAGAAAATCTGCAAACCTTTACATTATGGATGGGCAAGTTATCTCCGGCGAAGTCTCGGTATGTTCTAAATCCCTCTCCAACGCTGATCGTTCTCGTCTATGGCACCTCAGGCTTGCTCACATGTCATACCATGGTATGAATGAACTAAGTCGAAGGGGGTTGCTCGGGGAGCACAAATCAATCGAACTTGAATTCTGTGAAGATTGTGTATTTGGAAAGCAGAAGCGAGTGAGTTTTATCGGTGGCAAACATACGATGAAAGGGCCACTTGACTACATACACTCTGATTTATGGGGACCAGCGAAGGTTACATCGAAAGGTGGAGCCTCTTATATGCTCACGATCATTGACGATTTCTCAAGAAAGGTATGGTCATTCTTCTTGAAGTCAAAGGGAGAAGTATTCCAAACTTTTAGAGATTGGAAAGTATTGGTTGAAAAGCAATCAGGTTTTGAAGTGAAATACCTTCGTACTGATAATGGACTGGAATTTTGTTCTGAAGAATTCAACTCCTATTGCCGTAGGGAAGGAATTACGAGGCATCGCACCGTAGTTCATACACCACAGCAGAACGGCGTAGCGGAACGTATGAACCGTACCATCATGGAGAAGGTCCGATGCATGCTATCTCATTCGAAGTTGCCGAAGTCTTTTTGGGCCGAGGCCGCTTCAACCGCATGCTACATTATCAACTGTTCCCCTTCTCGTGCTATTCAAAAGAAGACCCCATTTGAGCTTTGGTCCGGCCAACCTGCTGATTACACGAAATTGATTCCATTTGGATGTCCAGCATATGCCCGAGTTGATAACGGTAAATTGGAACTGAGGGCAATTAAATGCGTCTTTCTCGGATATCCGACAGGTGTTAAAGGGTTCAAATTATGGAGCCCGGAGCTAAGCAAGGTTTTGACATCTAAAGATGTGACCTTCGATGAAAAAGCCATGCTTCATCCTGTCTCCAACATTCAGACCAGAGAAAATGAAAATTCGGAAAAAGACAAAGTTCGAGTGGAGGTGGAGTTTCCTTTAAATTCATCTTTCGAGGACCAGTCTCATGAAGGTGTCGAGGTTTCTCAACCCTCGAATAATCAACATTCCTCTTCTCATGAGCCAGCCGAAGCTCCAAGCCAACCTCACAGTCCCTCCATTGCAAGAGATAGACCTCGCAGACAGATTGTACCTCCAAAGAGATATGTTCAAGCCAATTCTGTTGCTTATGCACTTACAGTTGCCAATGAAGTTGAGTCTGTTATGGAGCCCACAAGCTACAACGAGGCCATTCAATCCAAACATTCTAATAAGTGGATGGTTGCCATGCACGAGGAGATGGAATCTCTTCAGAAAAATGGCACATTGGATCTCGTTCCAGCTCCAAAGGGTAAGAAGACAGTTAAGTGCAAATGGGTCTACAAGTTGAAGGAGGCTATCCACCCTGGTGACAAACCAAGATATAAAGCTCGTTTGGTAGCCAAAGGCTACAGTCAAATCCCAGGTATTGATTATACCGACATTTTCTCTCCGGTTGTGAAACACACGTCAATACGTGTCTTGTTGGGATTAGTTGCCTCTCATGACTATGAATTAGAGCAACTTGATGTTACTACATCATTCTTAAATGGTGTGCTTGAGGAAGAGATATATATGCAACAACCTGAAGGTTTTGTAGCTCCTGGCAAGGAAAGCTACGTGTGCAAATTGAAGAAGTCTCTTTATGGCCTCAAGCAATCTCCTCGACAATGGTATAAAAGGTTTGACTCATTTATGACCAGTCACAAGCTGAAAATGTGCACCTACGACAGCTACGTTTACTACAAAAAGTGTGACGATGGTTCAATGGTCTATCTACTTTTATACATGGATGACATGTTAATTGCAGCGAAGAATATAAAGGAGATTCAAAAGATAAAAGACCATTTGAATGCTGAGTTCGATATGAAGGACTTGGGTGCTGCCAAGAAAATTCTAGGAATGGAAATAGTGCGAGACCATAGTACAAGAACTCTATACCTTTCTCAACAAAGCTACATTGAGAAGGTTCTGCACCGTTTCAATATGCATGACGCAAAAGAAGTCAGCACTCCTTTCGCAGCCCACTTCAAGCTATCATCCGCCTTAAGTCCTACCACCGAAGAAGATATAGCATACATGGCAAAGGTACCATACTCCAGCGCTGTAGGATCTCTTATGTATGCTATGATTTGTACACGTCCAGATTTGTCATATGCGGTAAGCATGGTGAGCAGATACATGGCGAATCCAGGAAAGGAGCATTGGGTTGCTGTTAAATGGATTTTTCGCTACTTGCGAGGTACTTCCTCTTTATGTCTGCGGTTTGGAAAAACCGATAATGGAGTACTTGGTTATGTGGATTCCGATTATGCAAAGGACTTGGATAAAAGACGATCGATTACAGGGTACGTGTTTACTTTGGGTGATTGCGCAGTTAGCTGGAAAGCGCAGTTACAATCTACTGTAGCGTTATCCACCACTGAAGCCGAATACATGGCTGCTACGGAAGCAGTGAAGGAAGCCCTCTGGTTGAAACGGTTGATAGGTGAGCTTTCAAACAAGTTATCTGTTAACACTGTTTTTTGTGACAATCAAAGTGCAATATTTCTAACGAAGGATCAAATGTTCCATGATCGAACGAAGCATATTGATGTTCGTTATCACTTCATCAGAGATGTTATTACTAAAGGCGATATTACAGTAAACAAGATCAGCACCAATGATAATCCTGCTGATATGTTCACTAAAAGTCTTCCAATAGCCAAATTCAAAGCATGTTTGGATTTGGTGGGTGTTTCAGATCGCATTTGAGCCTGATAGGCTCGTGGTGGAGGAAGTATATTTACTTTTCGAAATCAATTTTTTCTCATATGGTGTTTGTAGATTCTTATAGAGATTTGGAGTATGATGAGCTGTTGATAAACTGTTTTGCATGATCATTGTGCAAGTTAAAGTTTTTTCATCCTGTCTCATTTGAAGTCAAGGTGGAGATTGTGGAAGTTTCCTTCAAACTTCAACATTGGATGATTTCTAGAATACCATTCTACAATGTGGTTTTAATTTGTCAAGAATGGGTGGTAGCATGTTTGTCAAGAATGGATGGTAGCATGTTTGTCAAGCTTGGATGGTAATAGACAATTGAATTCATACATTCATTTGCCTATAAAAGGAAATGAAACCAAGCTTATTAAAAACACCACACCTCAAATTACATCTTCATTTTTCTCTCATATTCATACAAATATATATTTGATATATTTGTTTTTCTTTCCTCTATCTCTGTAAACACTGAATATTATAGTAAATTGGTTCTCGGCTTCCTCCGCCCGTGGTTTTTCCCGATTTGGGTTTCCACGTAAATATCGCGTGTTTTTTCTTTTTATCGTTCGATTTATTCTTGGTTGATTATTCAAATAGTTTTATATTCCGTTGAATCGTTATCGTGATATTTGAGTTTTATACTTCGATCTTGAAGTTATCGATTATTTATTGTAGTCGATTTGTCTACACCATGAGCGCTGTGTGTCTGGAAATTTCACTCCTGAAATTTTATGGAAGACATCCCGAGTCCCACAATTCAAAGGCTTTCTGCGTTGACACCCTAACGACCAATCTCCTCCATTCCAATCTTCTGACACTCGTGGTTCAAAACCTTCCATACACCTACAAGGGGGAAGTTCGATGCTGCAGATTCCATAAGGACCACAACGTCCATAATAACTGCAACTATCAACTACTATATTTCCATACATGACCCATTCTTGGGTTCGCTGGATCCAATTCAACTGCCGTGGGTTGCCATCATTCATCATAACCCTCCTCAGAATAACTGAACTCTTTAGTTTAACTCCATAATATATTTCCTTATCGTTAACAGTAAACTCTGCATATAAAATTGGATTCGTGTTTTCCAATGCAAACCCGCGAAACCCAAGACCATGCCATGGTCCAAGCCTGGAATGTCTAACTAGACCTTTTACCACAAATATTTGTGGATATCCATTTGTGTCTAACCAGAGTTTATACTCTCCTACAGAAGGATCATCAGGGCTCTTCCAAGATGTCAAGTATCTCTCTCTTCCTGTTATCAAATCCTTCCCAAATTTCATTCCTGGTAGGAATGTGTCACCAGGGTAGTCAAAACTTTGCCAGATCGGATTTTCTTTGTTGCTACTTTCATCCCACACCACAAGATTTCCAGTGTCCAGAAGCTGTGCCACTGGATTAACAGATAATATTGTAGAATTTGATGACCAAATCACTGATCTATTACCGATACTAATACCACTGTGAATCAGCAGGATTCCATCTGTAGTGACTTCAAACACCCCAGATGCATCGGTGATTGGTGTGTGCCTGTTAGCAACCCAGACAACTGTACAAGGTGATATCTTCTTGTACCATATCCCCAAATATCGATTCTTTGACTTTCCGGGGCTAAAAAACCCAAGTTCATACGTCTCGCCATATGAAACAATTGTGTTTCCATCTATGATTGGTTGATTTGCAGATACACTGTCTACCGCATTAGAATATGACACGAAAAAGAATATGGTACAGGATAGCAACACAAGGATGAGATAGACAACCATTGATATATTCTTGAAAATGGTATCGATATATTCTTGAAAATGGTGGGCGGTGGGAGGCTTGGATGAAGATTGTAGAAACAATTTCAGAATATATCCCCTTTGAGAACTTTTGGCAGAACAGAGTGCTTTCCAACGAATAAAAAAATGAGAGTTATATCTGAGTTTAACATTGAACAACTGTATTGTGATGAACTTTTTTCTACCTCGAAAGACTTCAACTTCATAAATAAATAAATAAAACTAGAAAGACTTTTAATAGCACCACATAAGCTTTAATTTTTCTTTTTAAAACTTATAATCAGAAATTCTAATGACGTGAAACCTTCACTTTTGAGAACTGGACTTTAAGACGTTTAATATCATAGGACATAACTTTTAATAGCACCACATAAGCTTGAATTTTTCATTTTAAAACTTACATAAGTTATAATGAGAAATTCTAATGACATGAAACCTTCACTTTTGAAAACTGGACTTTAAGACGATTTCATAGGAAATACACTCAGATCGACCTCCGTTGACCATTTCATGTTCTTATTTAACGTATCGTGCACGAGGTTATTCTTGTATTTTTGATATGTTGTCCAAAACCTCTTCTGGATGATGCGAAGCATAAAGAAAAAACACGGTTAATTTCATAGGTCATACATTGAGATTGACCTCCGTTTACCAATTCAAGTTCTTATTTAACATATCGTGTACGAGGTTATTCTTGAATCTTTGATATGTTATCCAAAACCTCTTTTGGATGATGTGAAACATAAAGAGAAAACAGGGTTAATTTCATAGGTCATACACTGAGATTGACCTCCGTTTACCACTTCAAGTTCTTATTTAACGGTGTACGAAGTTATTCTTGTATCTTTAATATGTTATCCAAAAAACCACTTTTGGATGATGGGAAGCATAAAGGAAAAATAGGGGCAAAAAATAAGAGAATATTAAAACGACAATAACTTTTGATCGGCCACTCACAACAGGTTGGTGATTTTGTATCATCAGTGTGTATTTTAATGTAATGGATTGAGTTGTTAACCAAAACCAATCTTCATAAATATTAAACAAGTGAGGAAGGTGTGGAGTGCATACTTGTTTAAGTTCATTCAAGATTTAAAGTAGACTATATATCATTTAGGGGCGAAGCCCCTAAACGAACGGCGGTCTGGGGCAGCGCCCCTAGGAGCGGGGTCAAAGGGGCGGCAGCCCCTGGCGGGGTCCAAGGGGCAACTTTTTAATATGAGTTATGTTGCTATATAAAAAATGCATTAGAAATCTGAATTCTTGTAAATGAACCCGGTTTTTTACTTCATTTTGACCCTTATTAATAATACGGTTTTAGTGACAGTTTATGACTGTTATAAACTGTCTTTTGATAGTTTGAGTAGTTTTTGGACAAAGAAAACATTGATAGTTTTCAGACAAAGGAAGTATTTTAAGCATTTTGGCCATAATTTTCCTGGTACAACTACAATCACGAAAACAATAACTTCATATTCTCTGTTCTTGAAACTCTTCTGAGTCTTATCCGATTAAAGGTTGGGAGTACCACCCAAATACTTTAATCTGAAAGTGTACACATGATTCTCAGAATTTCCAAGCCTTTTATTACCCTGAATTTCTAATAAAGATTAAAGTATTTCTGTAATCATGGCAAGTGATGATTATGTGAAGGAAATGACAAGTAAGTTTGACAAACTGAACAAGTTTGAAGGGCAAGACTTTCATAGATGGCAGAAGAAGATGAAGTTTCTCCTTACCACTCTGAAAGTGGTGTATGTTCTGAGTACACCCATGCCAGTCTTACCAGAATCTGTTGAAGATGAACCTTTCGAGGCAACAAGAAGGAGATCAAAATGGGAAAATGATGATTACATATGTCGTGGTCATATTCTCAATGATATGTCTGACTCTCTGTTTGATATCTATCAAAATGTCGCATCTGCAAAAGAACTGTATGATTCTATTGAATCCCAGTACATGGCTGAAGATGCTTCTAGACAGAAGTTTCTTGTCAAAAACTTTATGGATTACAAGATGGTTGACTCCGGGCCTGTTATGGAATAACTCCATGAAATGTTAAGGATTCTGGGACAGTTTGCTCAACACAATCTGAAAGTGGATGTAGTCATTTATGTGGCTGTGGCCATTGACAAACTGCCCCCTTCCTGGAAGGATTTTAAACACAATCTGAAACATAACAAAAAGGAATTGACTTTGACTCAACTTGGAAGCCATTTACGGATTGAAGAGTCCTTAAGGACTCAAGAACTTGATAACAATCCCAAAGGCAAGAAACAAGTTGGTTCCTTTTCTATGAACATGGTGGACGGAGAAGGATCAAAGAATCAAAAGAAGTATAATGTAAAAAGGAAGTTTAAAGGAAAGGATGATAAGGCTTCCAACAAGAAGGCTAAATTGGTGTGTTGGAATTGTAACAAATCGGGTCACTTCAAGAAAGATTGTCGTTTTTGTAAAGTGAACAAGGATGGTGCTGGACCAAGTGGATCCAAGGATCCAGAAAAGCAACAAGGTCAGATTTATGTTTTCATGCAGAATTCTAAATATATTCAGAATTATATTTCTGTGATTTCTGAAGCATTTTATGTGCAGGATGATAATGTTGCATGGTGGGTTGATTCTAGAGCAACAAGTCATGTTTGCAAATATCTATATTGGTTCAAGGAATTTCAACCAATTGAAGATGGATCTGTTGTGAAGATGAGAAATGTTGCAACTAAACCAATCAAGGGACTAGGATCTGTTTTACATACCTTTACTCCTAGGAAATGTTTGTGTTTGAACAATGTTTTATATGTTCCAGGGATTCGTAAGAATCTTGTGTCTGAAATTGTATTAAATAATTGTGGTTACAAACAAGTATTAGAAAGTGACAAGTATATCTTGTCAAGACATGGTTCTTTTATGGGATTTGGATATGTATGTAATGGAATGATTAGGCTTAATATTAATTATCCTTTTATTGATAATTCTGTTTGCATGGCTTCTACTAGTACTAGCAATAATTTTAATAAATATGAATTATGGCATGCTAGACTAGGACACATTCATTACAAGATATTAAAAGACATGTCTAAAATGAGTTTAATTCCTGTTTTTGATATGCAAAATAATGAAAAATGTAAAACATGCATGCTAACTAAAATCATTGGACAACCTTTCAAAGATGTTGTTAGGGAAAGCAACGTGTTGGGTCTTATACATACTGACTTATGTGATTTCCATGCAACACCTTCCCTTGGAAACAAAAAGTATGTTGTTACTTTTATTGATGATGCATCTAGATATTGTTATGTCTATTTGCTACATTCTAAGGATGAAGAACTTGATAATTTTAAAATTTATAAACAACAAGTTGAGCTTCATAAAAATTAATTAATAAAATTCTTGCGTAGTAATAGAGGTGGTGAGTATTATGATCCAGTTTATTTTGAATCAATTGGAATAATACATCAAACCACAGCTCCTTATACACCACAATAAAATGGTGTATCTGAAAGGAAGAATAGGACTTTGAAAGAAATAGTTAATTCCATGTTGTCCTATTCTAGATTAAGTGAAGGGTTTTGGGGTGAGGCAATGTTAATTGCATGTTGCGTCTTGAACAGAACTCCAAATAAAAGGAGTAAGAATAATCCTTATGAACTTTGGTGTAAAAAGGTACCAAATTTGAGTTATCTCAAAGTTTGGGGCTGTAGAGCAGTTGTAAGGCTCACTGAACCCAAAAGGAAAACATTGGGTGAGTCAAGAGATGCTGTCTTTGATGAAGAAAGATTTACATCTATACATAGACCAAGGGACATGATTCTTCAATCTTCTAGCAAGAGTACTAATCAAGCTGAAGATGTTTCTGTTGGTGCAAGTTTTGTACCTGAACCTAGGAAAAGCATAAGATCTAGAAAAGCTAAGTCTTTTGGATCTGATTTTCAACTTTATCTAGTTGAAGGAACAAGGAATGAGACTATATTTCTACATAAATATTGTTTTAATATTGATGACGATTCAAGTACTTTTAGTGAACCTATGGCTTCTAGGGATGTTTAATTCTGGAAAGAAGCAATTCAAGATGAGATTGATTCTATCATGCATAACAATATTTGGGTATTGTCAGATTTACCTCCTGGTTGCAAGGCATTGGGAATTGAATGGATCCTCAAAAGGAAAATGAAGGTGGATGGCACAGTTGATAAGTATAAATCCAGATTGGTTATCCAAGGCTTTAGGCAAAAAGAAGGCATTGACTTGTTTGATACTTATGCTCTTGTTGCTAGAATTTCTACTATTAGATTATTTTTAGCTCTTGCAGCTATACATAATCTTGTGATTCACCAAATGGATGTCAAAACTGCATTCTTGAATGGTGACTTGGATGAGGAAATTTACATGAAACAACCTAAATGGTTTGTGATGCATGGTAATGAACATAAGGTGTGCAAGTTGAAGAAATCATTATATGGTTTAAAACAAGCACCAAAACAATGGCATCAAAAGTTTGATGATGTGATATTGTCTAATGGTTTTGCATTAAACTAGGCTGACAAATGTGTATATAGCAAATTTGATTATTCCAGCAAAGGAGTTATAATTTGTCTATATATTGATGTTATGTTAATTTTGTTGGGTTTTGAGCATTCTAACACTCCTAAGTGTACATGCAACCCTAAATACCTTGGATCTATGTTTTCTCTATTATACATGCAAATATGAATATTCCAATGTATTATCCTAACTAGCATACAAAACATTGATTCATATGTAATAAAGCAAGTTAGAAGACATACCTTTTTGATGTAACTTGATTCCATGGAGCTTAAGAGCCTAATGCCTCAAGTGTGACACCTCAAATGGTTCACACAACATCAAATTCACTTGGAATAACTTAGAGAGAAATGATACACTCCATGAAATCGGCTAGCCCTCACCATTCCTTCATAGTCTCTCATGGTTGCCGATTTTGGAAGAATAAGATGCTTATATAGTGT